ATACAAAGGAGGATATATCCTCAGTGCTTCCCTGCTTGTACTCTACCCAAGCACTCTCGCACCCTCGCACCCTTGCCCTCTCGCCCTCTCGCCCTCTCGCCCTCCAAACTCTGGAAACTCTAGAAACACCCGCGCATCACGAAAGATTCCTCCCCACTCACCTACGAATATCAAACGTGTGTCTGACTAGGGGATCCAGTACTATCCGCGGGAACTTGGTCGTATTGGGTTTAGCCTGAGATTCAATCAAACCCAGGATTCAGATTCATCTACATACGGTAGAGTACGCGGATACGCTCTTATTATTTTAAAATTCAAAATTCTCTCGATGATCAAAGCTAGCGACTAGGTAGATACCAATCCCCTTGGTATTAAGGAAACTAGATGCTTAATTTCTTAAATTGGAATTGTTTCTTCAAAATTCTAATTCTTGTGTACTCCTATCCTACATTTGACACTAGTCCCTACCTACCTACTTTAACAAAAAAAGAATTAGTACGAGTGACAAGAACTACTTCAAAAGTCTCAAACGAATAATACTACTTTCCACCTTCTACTTTCTATCTTCCATCTTCCACCTTCCACCTTCTCAACACCTCTCATCGTTTTTGAAACTCACATTCAATTCATTCAACTTCTTCTCAAGAATTAAACTTTTTTGCATTGACGAGTTGCTGCTATTTTCTGCTGCTGCCTCGATTCCTGCAATCCTATTCTGGACATTTCATTCCTTCTCTTCTTACGCTCTTTAATTCGCATCTTCCATGTACATTTTCTGGTAATACAAAATCACTTCCATGTCGTAGAGGCAATTACATCTCAGAAAGTTAACATCTTTCACCAGAATTTAGATTGCACATAATAGTGCTTTTATTTCTCAAATCAACACAGTCACTCACTCACTCACTCACTCACTCACTCACTCACTCACTCACCATGTCTTCACTCATTCAACCATATCTCGACCTTGCCTTGCAGCAACTCGAAATTTACAAGGACCAATTGATCGAACAAATCCCAGTCATCTCGACGACCACATATGTCCTAACCATCCTGGCAATCTGCATACCCCCTATTGTCCTCTTAGTATTCTACGAACTCGAACAATCGCGACAACGTGCCGAACAACCTAAAGGTTGTAGAAAACTTGGATTGAAAATCGATAGCAATCTTACCAATGAATTCGATCCCAAATTCTCCGAGGGACGTCCCCCCAGCACTGAAGAAACATCTGCAGAATGGTGGAGATTGAAGAGTATGTGGATTTATCCAGTCAAGAGTTGTAAAGGAGTTGAGTTAGGCAGAGGAACCATTATTGCAAGTGGAATGGAATACGATCGTCAATTTACCTTTGCACAATTGAAAAGTCCATTTCCCGTCGCAGAGAACGATCCGAATTCAAAGAAAGCGGCACATCAATGGGAATTCATCACTCAACGACAATTCCCCTTGTTGGCGAAAGTTAGGACCGAAATGTGGGTTCCAGATCAAAGCGTGGATACATATGCTCCTCACATCGATGATGTTGAAAGCGGAGGAGTCATCATCATGAGTTTCCCATATCAAGAACCTGGATGGAGAGGAACCGTTGCAAGTTGGGGTGCCAAAGTTATGGGAACCGTACCTGAAAAACAATTCCGCGTGCCATTCGATCCTTCACCAGTACAAATTGAGAAAGCAGGTTATACCGTTGAAAAGATGACCATTTGGAGAGAAACGGTTGATGCTTTGAATGTGGAAATTGAGATTCCAGAAGAACTCAGATATTACCTTGGTATCAGCAATAAGTTGGGTCTGTTCAGAGTTGATAGTGCAAAGCCGAGAGAAGTTTTCAGAAATGCGCCTTCAAAGGAAGAACTTGGGTATCAACCAGTTACTGGATTTCAAGATGCTGTAAGTTTTCTTCAAACGCTTGAAATCTGCTGTACGATTTCTTACTAATTCATTCTAGTATCCTATCCACCTTATCAATCTTGCTAGTATTCGTGATGTTGAAAGTAAGATGCCAAAGGTTAAGGGGGCGCCAAGATTATCTGCAGGACAATTCCGTGCCAATTTGATCAGTATGTTATTCTAAAGTTTCGCCATCTGTTGGTTTCATTACTAATATCTTTCAGTTACCGGACCTCCAGCTTACCACGAAGACGATTGGCGACGAATTAAGATTGGTTTTTACGAATACGATGTTTCTTGTCGTACAGTAAGATGTAAGATGCCAAATGTAAATCAAGAAACTGGAATTAGACATCCATCCGAACCCGATAAAACTTTACGAACCTTCAGAGCTATTGATGAAGGAGCCGGAAAGAATTTGGGATGTTTGGGTATGCAATTAGTACCTACTACTAAAGATGGAGCACTGAGGGTTGGGGATGAAATCACGGTGTTGGAAGTTGGTGAACATCATTATCAAAAATTATTCCCGGAATTGAATAATTAATTGCTAGACGAGCATTCTTTGTATTGTGTTGGTTGTGTATCAAGAGAGTACAGGAGTAATGGACATATAAAATATGGAATGGTAGCAAGGAGTTTGGGATTTATTAATTGGTCGGCTGGATGGATGGATGGCTGACTGACTACCTTTACATACAAATACTTTTTTTTCCTCTACTTTTTTCTTGCTCGCTCTATTTGTATGTGTGTTTGTACTGATATTTGTATTTGTGTCTTTATTAGTATTAGTATACTGATGTATTGGTGTCTTTGTTGTGTACTGATGTGTTGGTATTTGCAGATATGCTGCTTGCTTGCTGTGTGTGATTTTATATATAGATAGATAGATATGTATATCTTGTAAATGGGCTATAGATTCCATGGTTTTTGTTGTCTCTTTTCTCTTTCTCTTTTTCTTTTTCTTTTTCTTTCTTTCTTTCTGTGTCTTGGAAAGGAAGATGGAGATGGAGATGGAGATGGAGATAGAGATGAATAGAGATGGAGATGGAGATGGAGATGTATGGGTATGTATGGGTATGAGAGAGGGGGTTTGTATGAGAGAGGGGGTTTGTTGAAGGTGATTGATTTTATTTTATTTGATTTGATTGAATTTGATTTGTATTTGACTAGGTATTTGTTTTTGTGATTGTTGTTTTATGTGGTGGTTTGTTTTGTTTTGTGGGGGAGTAAAGGGGGGAGGGAGGGAGGGAGAGAGGGGAGGATGGATTTGAAGGATATTGAGATTTGAGAAGATTTGAAGAAGATTTGAAGAAGATTTGAAGAGATTTGACGAAGATTTGAAGAGATTTGAAGACAGCTTTGACGAGATTTGAAGCACGATTTGACGCCGCATTTGCGAAGTTTGAAGAGATTGCAAGAGATTTGACGCAATTTTGCAGCAGCTTTGCAGGGGCTTTTGTAGGGGTTTGATGGGCTGGGGCATGCGGTGGCGTACTCCGGTGGCAGTGGCCGTTTTGGGTGGCAGGCCAGGGGCCGGCCCGGCTGGGGAGCGGCGCGGGGCGCCGCGGGGGTTGGGGGAGGGAAAGGGGAAGTGCTTTTTAGGTGGGTGGATGGATGGATGGATGGATGGGATAAAATAAATAAAATAGATAGAGATAGAGAGGGAGAAGTGAGGAGTGAGGAGTAGGGAGTAGAGAGTAGGGAGTAGAGAGTAGGGAGTGGGAGTAGAGTAGGGAATAGAATAGGGAATAAGAAACTTAATAGAAATAGAAGAGAAGAAATTGAAAGAGGGGATGGGAATTGAGAGAGGGAAAATTGAAAATGGAATGGGATGGAAGAAAATGTTTAATATGTATATTATATATATTATATAATTTAATTAATATAGATGATAATCATATATATATATAGATGTATAAGAACTTATGTATTAAAATATATAGAGGGATTGATATAGTGAGTAGGTATATAGTAAGTATATATATATAGTAAGTAAATATATATAGTGAGTATATGTATATAGTGAGTATATATGTATAGTAAGTATATATATATCGAAGAGCGGGGGGGAAGAGAGGGTGGGGACGAGAGAGGGGGGAGAGATGGGGGGGAGAGATTGAGGAAGCCAGGGCGAGAAGAGGGGGGGAGCAGATGAGGGGGGCGGAGCTGAGGAAAGAAAGGGCGCGGAGAGCGGGGGGGGAGCGGCTGAGGAAAGAGAGTAATATTCGGAGTATATAGAGACAATGAAACTTCTCGTCGGATTTTATCGGAAATTCTTTATCGTATATATTATATTGAATTATATTTTTGTTATATTTAGGCATTCAATTTATATAGATTATATATGATTGTATATAAAATAATTATATGATATCTCTTTATAATTTACTTATATAAAGAATAAAAAAATTAAATAAAGAAAAAGCTTTATTTTTTCATGTTTTGATATCAAAAGCTGATTAGATATCCTAATTTGTAACTGCTATTATAAGTTATTCAAAGATTATCTGTAAAAGGATATCTTTTATTAGGCGCTCCGAAATACTTAGCAAGCTGTTCGCCCCGAATATTGTATATAATGTATGTAAAAAAGAGAGAGGGAGAGAAAGTATAAGTATAAGAATAAATAAGTTAAATCTAAGTATAAATATAAGTATAAATATAAGTATAAATATAAGTATAAATATAAGTATAAATATAAGTATAAATATAAATAAATAATTATAAATCGAAATACTAATTCGTATCAGAAAAATATATAAATATATTTATATTTGTAAACTTGAAATAATTAAATTGAAAGAAGAATAATATTAATATTCTAATATATTCTAATTTGATATTTAGAGATAAATAAGTTTAAGAATAAATTTGAGAATGAGAATGAGAATAAGAGAGAGAGATAAGGGATAAAGATATAAAGATATAAAGATATAAAGATATAAAGATATAAAGATATTGAATCTTATATTCTAAACTTATTTATTAATTATATAGAATAGAATATATTAAAACCTCTTTAAATATTCTAATAATTAATTTATATATATTAAAATTTAATACAATCGATTTCTAGTAGATATAGAACTAGTAGATGTAGAAGAATGAATATACATATTAATATTTGAATTTTTTGTTTATAGATATATATATACCCCCCTTCCTCTAACCTTCCTCTTCCCTATTATATCTTCTTCTCCTCCTCTTCTTCTCCTCCTCCTCTTCCTCCATCTACCTTCCCCGCAATCTATTACCCTCACCCCTCAAATTTACAACTTCGACTCCTTTCCCTTTTCCTCTTTCTTCTCCTTCTCCTTCGAACCAGAAGCAGAACTAGGTAATTCCACACCCACAATATTCACTTTACTATGTTCGCAAATGGCTAGGACTTCTCCGGTTCTGCGTTTCATTGTTCCTGGGGTGGTGGGGTGGAATGTTAGTTTTCTTTCTTTTTGTTTTTGTTTTTTGTTTTGAGACTGAATCCGAATCTGAATTTGATTTGAGGATTTGGGGTATTGTATTTTGGGAGTTTTGCTGTGGAGTAGAGACAAGTGGGTGTTGAGATGGGGAAGATGGAGGAGAGAAAGGGTTTGAAGCTTTTCTTATTTTGGGATGGTTGGGGGGGTGAGTTTGGGTGTATTTGTTTGGTGTCCAGGCTGGGTAGATGAATGGGGTAGTGAAATGGAGTAGAGGGGATGAATGAGTGGTGATGTGATGTTAGAGATAGAGGGAATAGATAGATAGAGAAGTCGAAAAACAAAGTAAGAAAGAATGACATCAAGAAAAAAGAAGAAACGAAATGAGAATAGGAAACCCAAACTCAAACTTAAACCACCACATCCAATCCCATCCCACCCAACTTTCTAAATTCAAATCCAAAATAAAAATAAAAACACTAACCTCTCAAAACCACATTTCTCTTCCCCAACCCCCCCACAACCTCACATTCAACTAACACATCATTTTTTCCCTCTCCTTCAGATTCCTCATGAATAGTAATGCCCTTTAAATAAGTACATCCCAATCCTCTACTCACTCCACCACCGCCCCATTTCTGAGCGCTGTAGCGACCCATGAGTGCAACGGATGTGCAGGCATCGAAGACGGTTGCGATGCAGCCGCCATGAACGGTGGAGTTTGCGTTGCTGTGAGAGTGGGTGGATGGGTTAGCGGGGTGTGGAGAGTGGAGAGTGTGGGAAGGGGGGGGGGGGGGGGGGGAGAAAAGGAATCTGAGGTCTGGGGTGTAGATGTAAGGCTTGATTTACGGGTATATTGTAACCCTTCGCAGCAGAATTTCTCAATGAGATGTAATAGAAAACAAGCCGAGAGTAGATAGCAGCAAACCAACATCTCCCAAATAATCACCTCCCTCCCGTTGAAAAAAATCGAAAAAATCAAATCAAATAAAACTAACCAATGATGCACCGTCGGTTTAAAAACAAACGTCGTCACATTCTCCGAATGATGTTCCGCATCCGCAGAAAGCGAGAGTGAAGGTAGGAGATCATGACCCCATCCCTAGAGAAGAAGAAGGAGATGTGTTAGTTAGATTTTCTTTTGGGGTTGAGTTGTATATGTTAATCTGATTGGGATTGAGAGGGCAAGAAGGGATGGAATGCACTTCTAGCTTAGAAGTTGATGAGGTTGATTGTGGGGGTGGGGGATGAGATTGGGAGATTAGTTTTTCGGTTTGGAAGGCTGGAGAATTGAATGGCTAGGGGATTGGAGGGCCAGAGAATTGGAGAGACGAATGGAAATGAATGGAGAAGGAAGGGAATGGGAATGGAAGTCCCGGTGAGCGGTATAGAAATGAGGTGAGATGGAGGCGGAAGGGTGGAAAGAATAGGAAGGATGAGAAGAGTATGCAAACTCGCAACTCGCGACTCGCAGAGATCAAATACGGAATCTCCATCTCCATCACTCTCTTCCTCTTCCTCTTCCTCTCTAGAAGCAAGCAAGCAAGCAAGCAAGCACCACGACAAGAACCAATTCCAAGAACCCCAAACCACATCCCTTCCCTATCCTATCCCTCTCTCCTCCTATCCCTCCACTCCAGCAACCACCCCCCTCTCTCCCCCCAATCCCCAATTCCCCTCCTCAAAAAAGAAAGAATAAAAAAGGATAAACTAACAATATACCCCTCCCTACTATCCTTCCACCCCTTCATCAAGAATCCCAATCGTTTCAATCCCACATCATTCTTCGCATCGAATTTCGTTTGCGTTTCTGGGGCCATTCTTCTTCTTCTTCTTCTTCTTCTTCTTATCTTTTATCCTACCCGAATAGTTTCTTTCTTTACAACGAGCTATTGATTGATTGATCGATCGAGCAATTAATTGATTAAACTAATTAATCAATAAACAAATATCCCTCAAAAGCCAATCTCAATCTCAATCTCAATCTCAACCCTAATAGATCAGACAGACAGAAAGACAGACAGACAGACAGACAGACAGATAAATACACAACAATCCCTCAATTGCGCGGTCAATGGTACTTTGTCCTTCGTCCTTCATACAATCAATCAATCAATCAATCAATCAATCAATCAATCAATCAATCAATCAATCAATCAATCAATCAATCAATCAATCAATCAATAAAAATCAGGGGTCCGCCCCCCATTCCATATCCATATCCATATCCATATCCATCCATATCCATCGAACCTCGGCACCCATCCATCCATCCATCCATCCATCCATCCACACATGCACATGCACATCCATCTATATACACGCGGGCAAAAAACCTAATAAATATCGGAAATTCGAATCGGAAATCCAATTCCGAATCCGGGGTTTAGTGCGCCGTTGGGATGTGATAGGTGGATATGGATACTGATACTGATACTGATACTGATACTGATACTGATACTGATACTGATGTCGATACTGATTGATTGATGACTCTATATATCCATACCTAGAATTATACTCCGTACGATGTAGATTGATCGGATAGGAGAACAAGAACAAGAACATGAACATGAACATGAATACCTACGGAGTACCTACTAGGTTTGAATATGCACATGGCCATTTCGAGATTCAATAAATTGTATGTATCAAAGCAATCTTAATGGTCGGGGGTCTTCATGATGGTGTCAGATCGTCTGCATAGATTGATATGAAAGTTATACAATTCATAGCAAAGTCAAACGTCGTTACATCACACAGAACAGCATTCAAAACAAGTAAAGTGAAAGTAACAGTTTTAATTCTATTGACTCAAATATTTATGAGCCATCTCATCATCCCCTTCCAAAATGTAAGGTTTTTCCTTTCTTTACGCTTGTCTAAGATACATAATCTGAACCATTCATCATCTTTACTCAGTTTAGAAAAAAAGTAACCCATCCCACCATCCGTTCCTTGACTTTAATATTAAAATCACCATGTTGACCAGTATTACCAACGCCCCAGTCTAAAACGACACCCTAACCCACGCTTGTAAAAAACAAAGATGCAATTTTTAATTTTGCCATTCAATTGAAGGCACTCGAATCATCCACTCATTAATGAAAATGCTTATGCAGCATCTGCTGATGGAACAGGTTCCGCAATGCGGGTTACCTGACTACCAGCTCGGATGATCTTTTGACCAGCGGTATCACTGACAAAAGAAATATCCTTGTTCTCACGTTGAGCACGCTTCCAGATCTCAACTTCACATCCACCACGTAGGACACCTACACGCATGGTTGAGAGAAGATTGTGGGCAGCGTTGGAATGATTGTAGACACCACCATTGAAAATAGCAGTTGCATCTTTGCCAATACCGGATGTGATAAGTGCTTTTCCACCTGGATGTTCCTTTACGAAATCGGTGACATCGTGAATAACACCAGCGACAGCAACGAGAGCACGTCCATTCTTGGCTTCGGTTTGGTAAGTGTCCCAGTCGATGATTGGCAATTGTTCAAGAGGAATACCCCAGTCAAGAGTTTGTCTCTTTTGGTCGAGTTTCTTTTGGAGTTGTTGGAGACGGCCCTTCTCAATCTCGTTGGACTTGAATTGCTTAAGATCGTAGGCGAGACCGAGCTGCTTCCACATCCATATGGACCATTTGGTTGGGTCATATTGATGCCATTCGATAGCGTTACGGTAATCAGATGGGAATTCGTGATGGAAGTTGTGGTAACCTTCTCCGAGAGTAACGAGAGCAGTGATGACGTGATCACGAGGAGAGTTGCGGTCATCGAAAGGTTGATCACCGAGCCAATGAGCCAAGGAGTTGACACAGAAAGTAGCTTGTTGAACGAAGAAGATTCTGAGGATACCGGCATAGATGAAACCACCGAACCAATCACCCCAGCCAAGACCGGTGACGAGACATGGGAAGATCATACCCATGAAGATAACAGTCTTGATGTAGTTGCGATGTTGCCAAACAACAACTGGGTCATCGTTCAAATCGGAGATATCGGTACGGCCAATACGCTTTGGGTTTTGCTTCATGATCATCCATCCAAAGTGAGAGTATAGGAGACCTTTTCGTACGGAGTATGGATCTTTATCGGTATCGGTGTATCTGTGATGAGCTCTGTGATCTCTTGACCACCATCTGATGGAACCTTCGACGGCTCCACCTCCAACGGCTGCGAGGAAAATCTTTAATGGGAGTGTGGCAGAGTATGAGGAATGTGCCCAGAGTCTGTGGTAACCTGAAGGAATATGTTAAATGTAATTCATCGTGGAGAGAGAGAAATCAATGAGAACCTACCAGCTGTAATACCCAAACCAGTCATGAAGTAGTAAAGGACGGCCCAGACAGCAGTCTTCCACTGCAAAGGAGTCCAGTAGGCCATGATGAGACCATAGATGGGAACTCCGACAATGAGAGTGACGTTAAGCCAGTTAACGTGTTTGTACCAGTTTGCCTTGGTAATTGGCTCCTCGGTGATATGAGGCTTCTTTGGGTCATACTTCTTGTTGCGATTTGGCTCAGAAGTCTTCGCCATGCTCGAAGGTTGTGACGCGTTCGAAGCCATTTTGAAAGAACGTCGATGATATTTGGGGGGGAAGAGAGCGTGAGGGAAGGGAAAAGGAAAAATCCTGATGGAGGAGTGGTTGAACTTATAAGTAGATTTGATGGTGTTTGGAAATGTACTAAAGTGTACTTTCCGAACAAGGATATGTAGGGATGGAGAATTGAATGGGTAAAGAAGTTCAAGGGACTGGATTGAATCGGTAACTCGGTTGGGTGATCAAACGTAAGGTAATAAAAATGGAGACTTTTTTATGGTCGATTTTTATTTTTTTTGATGGGAAAACCTAGAAAATACTAGTAATAGCAAGCGTGGAGCTATCTTCTTCGTTGGTCTTTTTTTAATTATTAATAAGCTGGACAATCTATGTAAAATCTTGAATTTTCGCCACTTTGCACGGTATTGTGTTGGATTGTCATCTTCCGTTTATCTTCCCCTTGCTAATGAAGCATCGACGTTCATTCGGTTCATGTGGTGGATCTGTAATCAGAATTTCAAGACAATCCTTCGTTTGCCGTGGTATTTTTGGAAAGAATTATGCTCTCGCTGATTTACCGTGAAAATCAAGGGAACGAGAACTGAAGTTTGGAATCGTTCCTCTTTCTTCTTCTGTCCTCGGTGATTTCCTACCTGGCATTAATCATTTCTTTCTTATTACTCACATGTGGTCATCAATAACAATAACAGACCGGTTGGCAGGCTGTGAGTGATATCCCCAAATCCTCAACGTCCCAACAGATTTCCGAATTGTGAAAGATTGATTGGCTCACTAAGCGAGCTCAGGTACATTCGCAGGAATCTCCTAGTGACTTCTATCATCCATTCCAACAACATCCATTGCTCATCGGATCAATCAGGAAGTTGTTACCTACCTAGGTAGATGGATGGTATAATACCTGTTTTTGATATCATACGTGATGAACTTTATCCAGGTATGCTGTATGAGTGTTGTCATGAGGAAATTCCAAAATGTCTCAACCACGCAATCAATCAAGATGACTTTAATTCCATTCAATGACCCAAAACCAAGGTCCAAGATTGAGAGTACCAGACTACCAGACTACCAGTCCAAGCACAAGCACAAGCAAGCACAAGCACAAGTACACAAGCCACAGATGAGACCTTCTTTTGGACCCTTAAAGTTACTCTTTAAATAACTTTGGGATGCCACTAATGAATCCCTTGACAACCTCACATCTCACAGCCTTAGACATGTTGGACTCGGACCTGCATTATCGTTACATAGGGATACCGCTACCATAATTGCATTTTCTCTTGATTCTTGAAGCTGGAGATCAGTTATAACAACTTCAATATTGCTCAATCCTTACTAAGTATTAAATCCTTAATTCTTAATTCTTCATTGGGATATTTGCCCATAATAATTAGTCAACTCCGTTCTCCTTCGATTCCCATTCAATCACTCTCTTATCCATTCCAGTCTCTTCATCGCCAATTCATGAAACATCAACGAGCAATCTTGGCCAAAATCACCATGTTCCATTGGTCGGAAATTCAAATATCATTCTGATCCAATCACAATCACAGAATTGAAGATTGGCCTGACACTTCACTCTCGATTCCCCAACATGGAACAACCCCCAGACCACTTCCGGTTTTCACCCTTGCCCTAGTGGGGGACCAAAATTCAAATCACTTTTTTTGTTGAGAAGCGGGCGGAACAGGAATAAACTACCACCGATAAGATTGTCGAGGAAAAAATGTACAAATCCTTCTTTTCTCCACAAATTTCATGCATCGAGAATAATCCATGCAGCCACCTCCACATTCATATCCATTACCGAGGCTGGGAACCTCGTGAGTTTTTGCCACCGAAGCGGTTGCTGGTTGGTCCATCTATCATCTATCCCTTCTTTGAGTAACAGTTGGTTGGTCAATGGCGTGTTCACGGAATTTATGGATATCCTGTCTCAGTCCGGTACCACTGTGGACACATGATCAACCCACTTTGAATGGCGTGTTTGATAAGATCGTAAGGATCAATGAGGCCAAAAACTTTGTTGGGCATTGTGTATGCGAACACGAGAGGCGGAGAGGCGGGGTCTTAATTCAATGCAGTGTAGTGCTGCGCAGATGATGATGACTTTTGGAATGGTGTGTGAAAATCTCACGACAGTATGTATGGTTTGGAATGAAATTCTACATTGTTCACTGCTTACCGGAAAGCTGGATGGCTGGTTGCCAGAGATCTGGAAATAGACCGTTCTTCTTCAAGCGTAGCAGAAACTTCACTTCATCACTATACTTTCAGTAAAGTCATAGTACTCGAGATTGTACAAGGTCGATCCTCAACGAGATGTTCAAGTCAGTCATGAATGAGATCAATAGAGCGGTTCAATCATTCCATTTGCATCCTACACTACACGAAGGTAAGCATCGTTCATTCTCAATTTACATTTATTTACATTTCAAATCTCCACATTCCTATCGAACGATTGTCCGGGTTCCAGACCCCCTCAGATATTGCACTTGATGACTCCCCTTCCCCACCCCCAAAACGAAATACTCTTATAAGTGGCAAAACAACTAAGTCTTGTGAGCTTGAGATAAAATACAACGAGTTCTCCACTAAACCTATATGGCAAATCCCCAAACCCAGTTCCAAATCGACTCTGTACAGTAGTCTGCCACCACGGTAGTGGCCCCCGGAGGATCAGC